ACTTTAACCAAGACCCAGGGAGTAAGGGAGGCTGATCCTGTTGGGATCAGTAACCAGGAGGTCTAGCCTCTGTTCTTGTCTCTGCTTGAGTTACTTTGGGACTAGGGTGTGAGTCACTTATCCTTGTGTCCAGTTGAACTATATCGGGGCTTTTTGCTGGAAAGGCAAAGAAGCCTGCTGCTCTGATAAAGCCAAAGTGCTCCATCTTTTTGATATTGTATGTTGCTTCCTCAGTTCCTCCAGCAGAGAAGCCAGCAAGGACAGAAGATGAAGTAGCCTAGAAGATGCCAATAGAGAGGGATTGGAGAAGCAGCCTGCATAGTAAGAACTGGCACTAAGTCATAGTCCTGGGATGGAAAGGAACCACACATCCCAGACCCCTGCCAGTTGTCAGTACTATTTTAAAGGAAGTTACCATTGTTTTTCAAGTTGCTACAGAGGACACTTATGCTTAATGGAGCAAGGATCACCATGGATCCAGCAGATATGATGCTTGCACCACTGAAAAAAACTTTGCTTATTTCCTTGAAGCAATGTTTTTTATGGTGGTGTCTATTATTCGGACCAACTGCATAGATGGGAGAGATGTTAGACAAGCTTTTGAGTACAAAAGCTCCTTAGGTCTGGGAAAGAAGCAGAAAAAGTCTTAAGTTTAATTACCAGATAAAACAATGGCTTGTGTGTAATTCCATGTGCAAATGAAGTCTAAGAATAAATAGAAGCTGTCAGCAAATGTCACCAAACAGATCCTTGCTTCTTGAATAGTTCCTGGGCCATAACACGTACAACACCTCTTCCTGGAAGTAGAAACATTGGCATGAGATGCCTGCAGTTGCACTAACGTAGTGACAGAGCCCCTGAAACCAGCAGCACTACCCCTAAAGCTGTGGTAACCTGGCAAAAAGTCAGGCTCAGCCCTTATTCTATCAAAAATCCTTTTAATGTGGTGCTTGTGCATGCTTTTGTCCCCATTCTCTTGCTATAGAGGATGCCATTGAGCAAGTTATGTGTTGTCACTGCATCAAATGCCTGTGTTCAGCACTGCGATGCATTTCCATCTGCTTACCTGCAGCAGCAGTGTGGGCTGTTCCCCATTCTCTTTAACATGTCACCAGAATCTGCTCCACAATGAGCCACCATCCTGTATGAAATATACAAATGCTGTAAATTTCACCAATGCACTTCCATTCCCAGGCTCCTTGTCCTGGGCAGCCTCAAGGTCAATGTTCAATATAGAACATTATCTCTGGAAGGACTCAGGCTAAACCCGAGCAGCTCCTCCATCTCCAGACTGGAACAGCCCTTTCTGGACATCATCTGAATCAAATGTACAGGGTTTTGCCCTGATTGGTCTGTAATCTCCCCTTCATGAGTGAGCCCATGTGACAGGTTTGCAAGTCACTAGACTTGATGCATTTTTCACCCAGCAGGAAATGTATAAGCTATCTAGGGGAAACCCTGCTGGGGAAAACAGGTGCTGAATCTTCCTCAGAATGAGTAATTAAACCTTGCTGTGGCAAACACTAGTTAATTTACTATCCCCATGACACTGAAGGGATATTCTTGCTTTCTGCTGACGGGATATTTTATTGCTCTTTCTCTCACTGTCCTTTTTCCACAGTCAGTTTGGGATTTCCATCGCTTCTGCCCGCTGGGTGGCAGAAGTGAAACACAGATCAAGTTTTTGTTATAAGCAGATGATATTTTGAAGGCTGTTGTCAGATGTTTTGACCCTGCCTATCTTGATGGCCCTGGAGGTGATAACAGCAGGGTTATCTCTGGCTTGCAGGGACTTCCACCCACTTGCCCAAATAGGGAGGGATAGAGAAAATGGTCTGGTTAAGGCAGCAGGGTGACCCAGGTGGCTGCTGCACCCATGGGCAGCAGCTTCTGGTTGCCACTGCTGCCACGATCACAATCACACAGCTGCAGCAAAAGCTGTTTTGTTTTTTGGTTTTTTTTCCCTAACCACCTCCATCAGTGCCCAGGACAGTTGCCCCTGTCACCCTACCCTAACTATGCCACTGAGTTAAGGCACTGTACTGGGACTCGGGAGAGCTGCATACATTGCACAGCTCTGCCACTGATTTGCTCTGTGACAGCAGGCAAATCGCTAGCCCTCGGGCACTGCAGGGAGCCATCTGTGAAATGCAGATAACAAAGATCTGCCCGTTCCTACTCTTCATCCATTTTACCTGTTTAGATTGTAAATTAATTGGGGTAGTGACTGTCTCTCATTACATGTCTGTACAGTGCATAACACAACAGAGCCCTGATCTCAGGGCTCCAGATGTTATGTTTATACATATGATGAAATGCAACTCATTTGAGCCTTCTGAGTGTTTCCCACATCAGTTAGCCCTTGCCTCGGCAGGCCTTGGTGGGAGGGAAAGCTACACACTGTGTCCACAGCCGCCTAGCTATGCATGCCTTGAGGCTGTAAGATTGTCCATGAAATTACAGAGGTCTCCTATCAGTGAGCCCAGGGTTGGTAGTCTGATGCTTTTACTTCATACTTACATAAAGTGGAGCAATCTGGGAAGGGTAAATCTTTACATGTGTGCACATCTTCTGCCTGTTTTCCCCTACAGACTTCTTCCATTGTCTCATCCCTGAGGACACGCTACTTGTTCACCCCCACTCTGCCCTTTTCCAGAGAGACAAACCAAGCCAGTGGAGAGTAATGGAGCCTAGGAGCTATTCAAGTGCTTGAAGTTCAGCAGACAGGAAAAGGGCTATAGAAAATGTTTCAGTGGTATCAGTGTGACAGGTGCTTGCAGCTACAATATGTAGCAGGGGAGAGAGGTAGGGCTTTTTCTGGGTTGTGTCACGATGAGTTCAGGGACTGGCACATGAGGCCACAGTCAGTGAGGTACACTTATTGGCCTGAGGAACAGCAGTGATGGGATAATGAGCAGGCACGTTGGGGTCTGTCCTTCAGGTGCTGAGATTGGATAAAGCCAAAGATCTTGCTCCTTGCTTCCCACCATTTATCTCCACATCCTGTAACTTTCTGGGAATAATAATCACAGCGATAATGAAAGGGAAATTGTCTCGCACTAAGAGCAGCTACTGAGCAGCCGGCTCTCTGGCTTCCATCACCCACCCACATGCTGGGTGGGAAGTCCTAGCAGGGAGTCCCATGGGTGACTGGCTTGTGCTAGACAAATGCCTCTGTGCGTCCTAGAGGCCACAGCTACAGGAGAGGCTTAATGTGCAGTAGCTTAATAACACTGTGCAGTAGCGTGTCATGGCACAGACAGTGCTAATATGCTACTGCGCAGTATTATTAGGCTACTGCACAGCAGTGTCTCTAAAAAAACATTTGCTGCTGCTAATGCACAGTAACTGTAGTTCCTGCATATTTACTTAGTACTTCATTAACCAAGTACTACATTAAATGTACTAAATTAAATGCACAGTAACTACTGTGCATTATTGAATATGTAGACGTGGCCGGGTGGTGTGTGGACTGGAGAGGGTGATCACCCCCTGGGGCAGGCTCAGCACCGAGGCAGGCCGGCAGGCCCGCAGCCCCCGCAGGAGCAGGGTTCTGGCCAGGAGCCCCGGGGTCCAGGTGG